TTTAAGGCATCACAGCTTCACAGAATATAGATTTGTATCTTAAAATAAAGGGATCAGAGCTTAAATGCAGGATAGATATGCAGAAGAGCAAGCCAGAGCAAACGAGGAATGCTTACCACATAAAGCAATGGAATTAGACAGCCCTACTTGCCCTGAAATTTGCAGGTGATCAACCTCTTCTTATTGTAACATATACTGTTTATTAATCTAGCCCTCAGTCCCCACACACACAATTTTTCCAATCTAACTCTACAGAGATTGACCTTTAAAGACTCATATTTTAATGCCAACCTACAATTGGCATCCCCCTTTAATTCGACCAATGTTGGTTATATCTATGATATTAGTTATATCTATCCCCATCTTTCTCCTCAAATTCTCCTTTTTGACATTAAAACACAAAAAGTAACTTACAAGTGATCAATATAAAGTTGTTATCTTTCTCCACCCTCAGCCCCATCTGTCCATCTTTCTCTTCCAATTGATGGTTGCGCAAGAAATATGCAGCAATTACTCATTTTTTTAAGGGGGAACCAGACATGTTTCCCCAAGGCAGTGCTTTCTGTTGCCGTAATATTTTCCCATCACTCAAACTGTAATACTTTGCTTCTGGGAAAATGCAGTCCTTTCCCCAACTAGTACATCCATTGTAACTGCAAGAGCTGCAGTGCACGGACAGTTATTGTACAGTATCTCTCCATTCCCATACGTCATTAAGAACTTCTTAAAGTATTATAGTTCTCATAATCTTAATACTTCCAAAACAGAGTGCTCATTCATTGATCTGCTCAGGCATGGGAACAATCTTGCACACCTTCCCTATTTTTAAAGGAGCCAAACATTAGCAGTGCTACTCCCCTTATTCAAATGGACTTTTTGGCTTTTTTAAAAATATGATCTTTGAAGGCTGCGTAGATCCTGTGATTCAGTGCATAGTCTCTCTGATTATTTTTAAGACGGTGAATTATGCCTCTGTAATAACAATACCTCCTTCCTTTATGTGGGGACAGGAACATAAGAACATAAGAGAAGCCAATGTTGGATCAGGCCAATGGCCCATCCAGTCCAACACTCGGTCACACAGTGGCCAAAAATACCAGGTGCCACCAGGAGGTCCACCAGTGGGGCCAGGACATTAGAAGCCCTCCCACTGTTGACCCCCTCCCCAAGCACCAAGAATACAGAGCATCACTTGTCCCAGACTGAGAATTCCTATCCATACCTTGTGGCTAATAGCCACTGATGGACCTCTGCTCCATATGTTTATCTAATTCCCTCTTGAAGCCGTCCATGCTTGTAGTCGCCGCCACCTCCTGTGGCAGTGAATTCCATGTGTTAATCACTCTTTGGGTGAAGAAGTACTTCCTTTTATCTGTTCTAACCCGACTGCTCAGCAATTTCATTGAGTACCCACGAGTTCTCGTATTGTGAGAAAGGGAGAAAAGTACCTCTTTCTCTACCTGCTCTATCCCATGCATAATCTTATAAGCCTCGATCATATCACCCTTCAGCCATCGTTTCTCCAAGCTAAAGAGCCCCAAGCGCTTTAACCTTTCTTCCTAGGGAGTGTTTCAACACTTGTATCATTTTAGTTGCCCTTTTCTGCACTTTTTCCAATGCTAGAATATCCTTCCAAATGAGGTCACACCATTGATTTATACAGGGGCATTATGATACTGGCGGATTTGTTTTCAATTCCCTTCCTAATAATCCCCAGCATTGCATTGGCCTTTTTTATTGCGGTCGCACAGGAGGTCACACTAACAGGGATGAAGCAGGGCTAGCATAATTAGCATGTATAAAAGCCCTGTGCTTGCATTGCAACTACAACATTGGGGAGGGGGGACTATTTTAAGAAAGTGCTGCTGCTGTTTATGAAGTCCTTCTTTCCATATTAGTAAACTAAGCAGTAAAACATACTCTAATGCTGTAACTCAAGAATGGAGGTAATCTCCGCCTTTGGGATGCCTTGCAATTTATGCTTTTTAAAAAGTAAGAGTTTTTATGTTTTGACAGTAAGGCTATTACAGATTGCCAATCTCGTTCCAACGGGTATTTATGGGAGTGGAAAGCAAGTCCTAACAAAGA